CGCTCAACTAAATGTAAACTACGGATAACTAATAAAATACTAAACTAAAATTCGATTATCATAGCGCTTCAAAAAATATTCTGATTTTAATTAAGGAATTCAAAATACTTATAAATAATTAACTACTTGAGTCCGAAATTTGATTTGTATAGACTAAAATACTCCTATTAATATTTTGCTTCAGAATATGAAATTAAAAATGTAGGTAAATTATCATTCAAAAAGGTGAAATATTAAAAAATATAAATCTTTTTCCAAAAATGGAGTTTAGGAACAACTTAAACTTTGAATAAACTGTAGTGTTTTCTTAAATAATTAGTGTCTTGCGTGAAATGTATCACACTATATGTATTATTATACTATACGAGTGATAGAAAAGTGGACAATAGTAATTTAAATTATAACCATCACACGGACACATAGTTTATTGATGGTATTGATTATAGAGGCAATATTATGACGCAGATTGAATGTGAGTGAATAGTATAATAAAAGTAATAATAGGTATGTATAATAACGATTCTTACCGATAATAAATTAATCATGTTTAAAAGATCGATTTTTCTCTCGACGACTTATCGCGAGTGATTTTTTTATTTTTCGAAGACAGCTACAACAGCACTCGTCGAACAAAATCGTTGAGACGACCTGATGGTTCATTTATAATAACCGCCGATCGGCACTATATATACAGCAGGATAACCATTATAATATCATCTCCCGCCCTAACTGTAAATACCGTCAACACGTCGTGGGTATCGTGTATTATTCGCGGCCATCATCGTATATACTATAATAGAGCAGGTATAGACATTTTATTATATGATTTCGCATTACAATGCGCTGTAGATCTGTATTGTCGTCGGTCGCCCAAAAGACAATATACCTCCCCCAGGCCATGCTATCGAATATTATTGTAATATGCAACTATACGCTGCACGGTGTATATCGAATCGACGATAGATGATATTATAATATTATGTTATGTACGGTAGAAACGCAACGACGACATTGTCCATGTGTACGTATTATTATTTATTATAATTTATTGTAGAGATTCGAATTTGCCGATAAAAACAAATAGAAAATCCAAACGGGATGGCCCTTTCAATCAGATGATGTCTTAGACCTGCAGCGGTTCTCAGATGACGAGTAGTGACTATACGTGAGGTCGAATAGTATACTCATTTTGCTCGATTCAATCTACATTAGACTCTGAGACATTACAAGATCAGTTAAATAAATTTTATACTTGGAGCGTGAATAACTGTCTCGAATTAAACATTGATAAGTGTAACATTATTTCATTTATCCGTTCTAAAAACCCAATTATATTCAATTACAAGCATAATAATGTACAATAAGTCAGAGTAACTGTGATTAAAGACTCAGGAATATATTTTGAATCAGATTTCTCTTTTAAGTTCAATCGTAAAAATTTTTTAAATAAATCCTATAGAATGCTATAGGCTTTATTAATAGGAATACACAAAATTTTAAACAGCCATCAAGCTTAAAAACTTTATATTGCTCGCTCGTACGATCTTCACTAGAATTTGGATCCATAATTTGGTCTCAAAACCTGTATACATACTTGAATGATCTTGAGGTTGTCCAATATAAATTTTTAAAAAGAATGGCTTACGTCTCTAATATGCCTATCTCTAATAATATATTTAAACCCCTTCAGTTATCAGTAGGTCTTGATACGATCGATCTAAGAAGACAACTCTCTGATATATTATTTGTATATGATCTATTAAATGGTTTTATTGATTGTCCGTATCTACTGGCTTTACTAAGTATCAAGGTTCCCACTTTCTTTTCCAGAACCAATGATTTATTTGTCATCCCCTACTATCGCAAAAGTTATGGTGCCGATTCGTTTTTCCCTCACACTCCGTCACTAGCTAATAAAATATCCCCATCAATAGATTTTTTTGATTCTATAGTCGTAATAAATTTAAGTGCAATATATTATTAATATTACGATGTATTAATGATGTTTAAATAGTTATTAATATTTCCATTTAAGTAATTAGTTGTATTTCTGTATTTGTATTTTGTATAGTTCTTTATTATTTTTTCCTTTTTGTTTATTCTAATCAAAATATGTAAGTTTCCGTTTATGTAATTTGTCAATTGTATTATACCTACCTTATATTCAATAATTAAAAAAGTGATTTTTATAAAAGTAATACACTATAAAAAAGTGTTCGTGGCAGGTACAACATGCGAAATTAACAACCAAAATACTTAAAATCGAAATCGTAACTTTTAATAAATATGCAATATTGCCTCTTCCAAGCCACAAGATTCGTCCTCAAAACTTTCGCGTAATATCATACAATATTTTAGGAGACGTATGTCGTCGAACGGTCGAGCGTTCCACTGATTTATAGTTTGTGGTTAAATGTCATTAGAATAATAGAGTTAAATAAGAACCGTTTTTGAAAGTATCTATTGTATTTTATTTGTGGAAGAAATGTTATGATATTTTCATCGAATTAATTATAATTTATAATCGGATATAATATTTTTTATTGTATTGCATTTAATTAAAAACTTCTTCAAGTGACTGGCAATAATTCAACGAGAATATAATGCATTTTTTCCTAGCTAATATATTATTTTAAAAATGGATGCCGTGGATCAACTTGAAAAGCTCTGCGTACGACAGTTTGAGAACTGCTGATTTGGACGTAATAATAATATTATAATACCAACTATATAATAGTATTATTATCATGATATCGACTGCCGTCGCCACTGTCGTCGATTTCGGGCTCGCACGGAGCGAAGATTACGATAATTATTAATTAGCACCTGAGATGATACGGTCTGTCGTCTGCCTTTGTGCGACGACGACGACCCGTCTGGTATGTATTGTTGTTATTTCGCCCTTGAATTTAATATAACATGCGAACGAATCGGAAAAGAATAATGGCGTTATTTTCGTATCCCAAGAATAATGTTTATGTTGCAGGTACGACATATACTGACGATATAATACAATATTCACCGGGGAAAAAATGAAGTTATTGAACTTGACGCCCGTAGCGGCGAGCGTCGGTTGAATGCGGCACGTGGGTTATTTACCTTTTACCCCGCAAAACCATTGAATTTCATATAATATCATATGTATACGCATAGGTAGGATGTGTGTATAGATATTCTGAACCCATTATTTGTACCAAAAGAATACTACCATTAAAATACATGCATCGTATAATAGATTATTGGTTTTTATACTTCGTTATCGGAAAATATTTCACTTCTGTGAAAGTTTATAAAAAAGTTTCAAACGTGTTCGACGTGTTATCCTCATTATATATATATATCAATGTGTGCATCACTAATAACTTTGATTGCAGACCGCCGCAGTTTAAATATGGCACCGAGACACTATGAGGTAGTCAGACGGCGCCCCGGGTCCACTTCCGTTGATTGATTAAAGTTATTAATTATTAGGTAATTAGGTAGTCTAGGTATCTAAGGTATACATAACACAAAACTCAAAATGTCACGCCCTCTCTCCTTCCACAGTCCCACTACCTCCCCAGAAAACGTATTATAATATATTGCGACATTAAGACTGATCGTCGGTCATTATTTTATGTACCCATCTTGTGTTTTGTAATTATTTTTTTTCTAATTTACGAGCCCCCAAAAAATATTCATTACAATCGGCAGTCCACGGAGCACAGTGATGGCACCGTCGGCGATCGTGACGCGATACAAAAAAAAACATTGGGTACAGTCTCGATAATAACCTACAATATACAACCTATAGTGTTGCAACTAGTTAATTAATACTATCCCCTCGATGCGAATAGAATTTCGGAATAATTAAATAATAATAATCTCATCATCGGGCTTATGCACTATCCCCTTTTGAACGCGGTTTGTTTACGACTATATAACACCTACTGCGCGCTATCGATAACATATTATTATATCGAGGTCTTAAAAATAATAATTGACTTAACATCGAAAACGTAAACCATTGTGTATTGTACCTATCATCTTATCGACACGAGCTCTTAAAACTTCCAGAATTTTCGCCAACAATACATCTGCTGCGGGGCTTTACAAGGCGAAGCGTCTACTTTTGTTACAGCACGTGCAAATGTGCAATGTGCATGTTATAACTTATAACAGTAAACGTGATACACATGCGTTCAATAATAGAAAAAGTGATAATATTGTTTTTCTTCGGCAACTAAAATTAATAATGACTAATAATAGTATACGCGACACGCGTATATATTAGAAATGTATCGAATATTTCATAAACCATTATAATTACTGTGTATTCAAAAAGTAAAATATCAAAAATGGGCTGGTTACATTTGGAGGTAAATGAACTCCGAGAGTATATACCAAACAACATTTTTGTCGGGAGACTGAACGGAAAAAGTCCTAGGGGTTCCCAAAGACGGGAAGATAGGGCGAGGACAGATCTTACTGGAATATCACGAGAAACAAGGCAGCAAATACAGAGTAGTTGGACTGGAGTGGTTGAGGCAGCGAAGGTCCTAAATGGACTGTAAAACCTGGGAAGTATATATTAATGTAAGTTGTCAAAATGCATTTATGTAAGTTTATATATGTTACCGGAAATGTTGACAATTTAGGAAATGATGACAATTCCTAGTAAATGTTGACAATTCCTAAAAGCGGAAGGCAATGTTATCATTGCCTAGGAATTGTCATCATTTCCGTAGTTTATTAGGCAATGTTATCACTAGGCCCAGGAATTTGATGTTCTAAAAAAATATCTAAAAAAAATGCATAAAATGACATTTATTTATTATTTTTTTTTTAAATGATATTAAAAATGTATATTTTATTGTAAAAATTGATTAATATTGTTTCGATAAAAAATTATTATTATTAATTAATTAAATAAAACTATATATTACCTATATACCTACTCCAATTATTTTTTTTTTATATTAGATTAGGTTAGGTTTTTATAGTTAAAAATGTACGTTAAAAATTAATAGAAATGACAACAAAGATAAAATAAGCTTATAAAATTATTTTATATATCTGTGCGGAGACATGAAATTATATCAAACACGGGTTTATGTCGATTCTGATAGCCGTTAATAATCAACAAGCTTTCTTACACATAAGCATTGACTAACTCGTAATGGCACCCACTAAGTTTGGTGTCAACTGTCAATATTTTCCGAGATCTAAAAATATCAGGTGGGGAAATGACTGATATCGATAAAATGGTTGATTGAAAAATGTCATGGATATCGCATATCGCAGTATTTATCTGTTTAATATATAACCTGTACATTCAACACGATCCGTTTAGTAGTAATTTATTAGTAGTGCAGTACGTATTTACTTTGTTATTAATTTAAAAATGGATTTAAATAAAATGCAAAATGAATTTAATAAAGCAATTTCATTAATAATTGATGCTAAACGTGATGACAACAAATCGTTCATGAATAATGAAGAATACGATCGTCGCATAGAAGACGTAAAATTATCCAAGACTCAAACAAAATGCAAAAAAGATTATAGAAATATTCGTAAGTACGACGTTATTTTAATAAATGATAAAGAACGCTTAATTAAAGCCATGAACCATGATAATGACAGTATACGTTATTTCGTTAAAAATGAAGAGCTATTCAATATTCTTCACTCTACGCATATAGCTATCGGCCACGGTGGCCGCGATCGTATGATGGCTGAAATAAAGTTAAAATATTGTAATATAACAAAAGAAACAATAATGATTTTTTTGAGTCTTTGTACCGACTGTCATAAAAAATCATCTAATCCAAAAAGAGGTCTTGTTTCTAAACCAATTTTGCATTCAGCATACAACTCGCGTGCACAAATAGATCTAATTGATATGCAATCGCAGAGTATAAACAATTACAGATTTATAATGAATTATCAGGATCACTTGACAAAATTTGTTATACTTAAACCACTAAAGACTAAACGAGCAGAAGAAATAGCATATAACTTAATGGAAATTTATACAACTTTTGGAGCGCCAGCAATTCTACATTCCGATAATGGAAGAGAGTTTGTTAATAGTGTAATTAATGAATTACATACTATGTGGGGCGATGTTAAAATAGTGCACGGAAAACCAAGACATAGTCAGAGTCAGGGGTCTATAGAACGTGCGAACCGGGACGTGGAAGATATGTTGGCGACATGGATGGCGGAAACAAATTCAACAGATTGGCCATCTGGATTAAAATTTATCCAATTTCGAAAAAATCGTGCTTTTCATTCTGGTATGATAAGTAATTAAAAAATTAATAATTAATTTTAAAAATAATTTTAATTGATTCTTTTTAGGTATCGGTCGATCACCTTATGAGGCGATGTTTGGTTGTCCAGCTCGTTTAGGTGTTGTATCAATTGGTTTACCGGTTGACGAAATTAGCTCTTTGAAATCTGAGGAAGATATTGAATGTATTTTGAAGTCAAACAAAGACGAGGGAGTCGAAGAAAATGTACCGTGTACTAGTAACTTGGAACAAGTGACTAGTGACATAGAACTTGGTAAAAAAAAAATGTAATATAGTTTAATATATTTAAGTTAATAATGTATTTATTTAGTTGATCAACGAAAACAAAATATACTTGATGCACGTCAATCATCTGCTCACAATTTAGAAAAACAGGCACTAAAAATGGTTAAAACATCCAATAGAAAATATGATGAACTTAGTGTTGGAACTACAGTACGTCTGAGTATTCCAGATGTAGATCGTGCTCGTGGATCACCAAGAAATGTATTAGCGGTTGTAACAGAAGTTAAGGACGATTTATACAAGCTATGTAAGAAGTTCACTAGTATTTTTATAACGTCTTAATCATCTTCGTATTCAAACTCGTTATAAAAATTAATTATTTTATTTTTTCTAATTGTAGGCACTGAAAGTGGATTTTTAAAACATATGTACACGAGATCAGAAATAAATCCTTGCAAAGCAAATTTATTGGATCTAAGTACTGTTTTAAAATCGGCAGGTCAATCAGAAAAACCGTTATCACTTCGGGAGGCAGCTACTGTAAATAGTATTTCAGGGGCACAAGGATATACCCGATGTCAATGTAAGACAAAATGCAAGACGAACAGGTGTGCTTGCAGATCGGCATCTAGAATTTGTAATTCTAAATGTCATGGAAGTTTGCCATGTGAAAATAAAAATGAGTAACTACGTTGCAAATCATAAAACAATGTGAAAAAGCTTAAATTACATAAATTAAAATGTTAAAAAAATACTTGTTTATTTATTGATTATTTATTAAGGTGATAGTAGATTAATTAATAATTATGTTTAATAAAAGAAATATTTAAATAAATAAGTCAGATTAAATTTAAAAAATGTGGCATCTTTGCCTACTATCGTTAGGAAATGATAACATATACTAGGCGATGATATCATTTCCTTCCGCTTTTAGGAATTGTCAATATTTACTAGGAATTGTCATCATTTCCTAAATGTCAACATTTCCGGTAACATATATAAGAATGTTCGTATAGTTTAACGCTACAATTATTGCAATATTGTTATTATATGTTATAGGCTACGGGTGATACAACACCAAACGTGTTATAACAGTTTAAATCCATAATATGTACCTAGTAATTTTTTTCTCCAAACATATCATAAACACACGATCGGCACTTGTGATGTACATGCTCGAGGGGAGGGTTTGGTTCTCGAACAGTGAAATCAAGTTATACCCACAACATTTATCTTGCAATGTTATAAAACCAATTCTTTCGGTGAGTACAAAAACGTACGTAATATTATTTTGGTCCTGTATAATATCGCACCTATGTCCATAAATGCAATCGTTATATTATATTATATATTAAGTAAGATGATTCAATTTATTGTCTTTCTTCGACGTTTTAGTTGCTCAACTATTTTAAATATTACAAATATTGTCGTTTTGAACATTTTATAATACACTTTTAGGTACACTCGACACGTCTTGTTACTTATTACATAAATTGTGTACTTAGAGTACTTAAGTGTAGGGATACATATAGGTGCGTGATGGGCACTATTAGTCAATACGATGCGGTGTAATATACGTATATTCGTATGTATTATTATTTTAAAATCCTACTCAAGCACATAATTGAAGATTAACATAACATCGAAATCTGATATTTTAAAATTATTCACAATGCGAAATAACGACCTACGTTTTATTAACCTCTGCGATCGGCGTTTTAGTACAACTAGAATTTCATTATTTTCCAGCAAAATTCAAAACTAATAATTTCCTGGGTGTATTCGACCGTTTTGTTCACGCATTATTCTTCTTAACAGAATAATAATATTATGGAATTTTACGGTTTTGCGATGTATACGCAGCAATTTGTTTTCTTCCGAGGCAATTACGGACGTTCGAGCCAGAGAAACTGCAAGAAGATCATTGGATGCTCAGTATCATGTACAAACATACGCCGATGTTTTTCCACTACCCCACTCTTTGTAAATATTTTCGGTATAAATTGGGCATTGTGAAAATCGATCATAACACTACACGCAGAGGAGTTCTTCCCGCAAGCACGACTATAGCTGTGCTGCGTAATTCATACAAGAAACTATAAATTCATCAATGCAACCAAACGTAAGTGTAACAGATTTTAATAACTATCACAATATTATCGATTGTTCATTTATATACCTACCTAATAGTGTCTTCGCAGGCACTTGTGCCACTCGGGCTAAAGAAAGGAAAATAATATTTCTGGTTTTACCATAGTGGTTATTATTTTACTTTTGTCCATAAGGTTAGGTATCTATGAATTAGGCGGATAAGGTAACACTACTCGGAGTTGTTTGTGCGGTGGGTAGTCTACATAGTTAGTAATTATTATTAATTACGGTTTAGATTTGTGGAGATATTACCAAAAGTTAGCAATAATCGTTGTTGCAAAACAAACTCCAAAGTGTAACCGGTTACTGGTTGCCGTTGTTGTTGTTGTTATTGCTATTATATACCTATTTTTAAAATAAATTACTTTACACCTTCGCAAAATAACACCCACGACTGGAGAAATCTTTCTCGACGTACCTATATTTCTCTTGTAATCGCATATCGATAAAATATTTAATTCGTCGAGATGTAGGTACTCGTATTTGCAACGCGACATAATATTTAAATTGAAAATCTACTGCATAACTACCATGACCGTATTTAAGTTGTAAACGCAATCCGGATGAATAAAAACAAGATTCATAATATTAAATCAAAAACCCGCTTTATGGTGGAGTTTTTTTTTTTTTTTAAGTACTACGTTCTCGACAATTTGTCACTTAAATTCATCCACTCCTTTAATACAGCCACGTACTGCGTATAATAATATATTCATCTCACTATTATTTGTACTTGTTACCTAACTCTACTCGCTTACACCAAATACGTGTATCTCACGATAGAGTAATAAATTCCTGCGCGTTCAATAATTATTGATTGATTTCTAGTGAAATTGCAATAATCATTTTATTTCGAAACGGAACGGTCAATATTTTGCTGAATACATCGAATTTCATAAATTTAAATCAACTCGATTAGATTCAAATAATCAAATAATAATAAGAAATAGATAAATTTGAAATGTATCATTTCATAACACGTATTAGGTATATTTGTCACAAATTCACATCGCGTATAGTATCGTAAGACGATTTTATACATATTTTGTTGAGTTCATTTATACACAGACTTGGTGTACCGTCGTCGGCTTGTTTATCGGTTTACACATTAAGGTTCAATATAAAACGTATTATGTAAATAAAAATTGTTAAAAATCAACGAGACAGTTTATCATACCACAGATTTTTATTCTATTCGTCAGATTTTTTTCTTCACTTTCGCATTTCAATTACATATTGTTTATTTAAATGTAAGTAATGTTTAAATGTTCAAAACCTACAAAAGGTATGTTTTTATCGGCTCAATGAATAGGTAATAATTTGAACGCCTTTAAGGAGATTTTCAATGTGCGTAGTTATACCCCCTTGGTTTATTAACCTAGTTAAAATCCATATTTTGTTCACTCGTTTAGTAATTTTTTCAGTATTTATTGGTTATTTTATTTCAAATTTTTATTTTAATGATATGTATATTTAATATCCATACATTCTATAACATTATAATATATTATATGTTCCGTAAAGACTTTTTACTGAATATTTTTTATTTTATTGGTAGCTTATTTGAAACTTACATTCAGCTGATTATTGAGTAAGAAGTGTTATCGATGTTTAAAAATAAATATAATTTTTTATACTAGACTAGCTGTCCCATCACGGTGCTGCCAGTGTATTGTATAGCTATACAAAAAAACTCCTTTTACCCCCTTAGAAGTCTGGTTTTCCAAAATCCTTTCAAAAAAAAAATTATTATTACAATAATAATAATATTTACAAATGATTCTAATGATTCAATACACATATTGATATTAAAAAATTATTCTATAGTTATAATTGTAATTTGTATAGTTAAACACGTATATCGCATATCGATAACAAAAGTATTATTATTTTTCGAATGCGCAATTCGTACAATTAAGCTATTCGGTGTTTTCCATACAACTCTTAACCTAATATGAATGTTATGTTAGTTTGCAGTTTATAATTTCGGCAAGTATTCCTACGTCATAAATATAGCGGTAGCAGCCGTTGGATTTTAACCGTTTTTTCTTTTTACAACCTACGTACGATCGTCAGTAGACAAATTAATTGTCGCAGTGTCGTGTCGAAACGAACATCTGTCGTGTCATTATTATATATTTCCTAGCTGATCCCTTGCACTTCGTTGCACCTTTAAAATGCTTGCTCTATACGAGACTCGCTTGTGATAATATGAGCAGTACATTATCAGGCAGGCCATCAGCTACCTGCAGTGGATCGCGGACTCCGCTAGGTGCACACTTTATATGAATAATGAGATGGACGGATCTGTCTGAAATGATAAGCGATAAGCGTGATGCCTCGACTAAGGGAAATAGGTATTTTTTTGCATAGATAGATTTAGATAGATTGTAGAATTTTACTTCTCGGAACAATAATTCATGTCTACACGCCGATCATACACATAGTTAGACGGACAAAAAGTTATGGTTCCATGTCGCTATATTATATGGAAACCCACAGGTCGCCGTGCTGTAAAATATGTATATAGATATACAATTCGTACGTAAACAATTTATTTTTGCCGATTCAATCGTTTAAAATCAAAATTTTGAAAAATCCTTTCTTGGCGGAACTTGACGTTATAATTTTTAAATCCATCCTCAAAATTTCAATTCGATAACTCAAATAGGTTCGGCTCTGCGTTGATTATTGCTAAAGAGTAATTTGCCTTTATATATATATATATATAATATATAGAGATTATTTTTAAGAAATGAAGATCAATGATATTTTTACGATCGAGGGTATATATGGGACCGATAATTTTAAACTCTCCGAAAACCGATAATCAAGGATATAATGAAGAACGATACACAATTTATTCTACAACAGCTGTAGAGCTGTTACAACTTTATGAAAATTATTTTTAAGATAACAAAAAAATCCAAACGCAAATAATATTTATGCCCACTGGTATAGCCTTGCCCCTTGTACATATATATATATAGCTTAATATAATATTGGAACACAATAATAAAAAAAAAAAAAAAAATAAATAAATAAATATTTCAAGTAGATGAGTAAAAAATCAAAGTTTTCACGCAAACCAAAAATTGTGGACCAGCGTTCCGAATAGGTGTGATAGGTATCATATTATTATGCAATAGGTCATAAAGATTTGCTAGTAAAGTTAAGAATACTGCCGTGTGTTGTCTTTGTTTCGTTGTCACGTGTAAAATAGCAAATCTACGTTCCGGATTTTTACTACAGTTTGTTTATAAATAGTTAATATTAGAGCATAATAATTACCTGTTATTGAATATTGTGGAAGAGAATAAATAGACGGCGAAAAGTTTTAATTTTCATATATTTAGCTTAAAACGAGTTACATATTATGTAATTATGAATTTTAAAAATTGAAGTTATTAGTAACAACTCATTTTATAGTTAAAATATGAAAAAAACTCGGTTCGAGCACTGCCATTATCGTTTACAAATTCTATTTTAAGCAGTAAATCTTGTATACAATTTTAACTATAAAATATTAACTCAACATTCAAACAACCGTTGTGTTACATACATACAATTTATGATGTGCCCTAAATGCAATGAAAATTAAATATTTGGAATCGACAAAATTGGAACCGCCATTAATGGGAAAACACATTAGTTTGAGATTACATTGAGGGATATTTTGGTTTTTTTTGTCCGCGCCCACGCGGGCATCACGGTGAATAATTTATGATGCAGCTAGATACCAATATTCATATCTAGCGTATAGTAGACAAAACTAAACGGTCTAGTGAAACTTTGCCTACCTATTTCAAACAATATATTAATATGTTCAAACTATTGAAGTTTCAAGGACACTGAGATTAAAAAAAAATTGGCCATTCAAATCTATATTATTCAAAGTCTTCGCATGCACTAAAAAACATTACCGCTCTGCCGTATTGCTTCAATATTGATGTCGGCTGTTTGTTGAACCATTCCTTTATCCATAATACCTATTACAGATGGCCGGTGTGACAGTAGCTACGGCGATGTTGGCCGCCGCCATAATAGTCGTTTCCGGAATCGCCGGGGCGGAAGCTGAAGCGGCCGCGGCTCCACAACTGCTGCAACCGCTGCACGCGCAGGCGGCTCAGTTCGGACCGGAAGCCAGGGCCGGATACGCGGCCGGTTACGGTTACGGTGGCGTCCAGGTGCCGGTGGCCGTCCAAGCCGCGGCCGCAGTCGGCAAGTCGGTGCACCTTCACCAGCAGTACCAGCAACAGCACCAGCAGCAACAGTACTACGCGGACGCGCCACCGGCGGCGGTGGTCGGTTACGTGCCGACGGCCGTCTACAAGCCGGACCTGTCCGCTTACGCTTACGGCGCGTCGCCGCACGTGGAACAGCTGCGGCGGTTCGACCCCGTCGTCCGGCCGGTGCACACGGTGGTGCCGAAGGTGACGGCCGTCGAGCCGTCGGTGACCGTGCAAAAGACGTACGTGGACGTGCCCATCCTGCACCACCACGTAGACCACCGGTTGACGTACGCCGCCGCCGGGCCGGCCGCCGTGGTGCAGGCTGACTACGCGTCGCCGTACTACAACTATCAGGTGGTCGACCGATGAGCGGACCGAAAACGAGAACGAAATTTATCGTAATATTTTCTCATGAACGTTTATTATTATAACGATATATTGTACATTTTATTTTAATAATAATATAATGTATATTATTTTGTGGTATCAAATCACGCTTTACGCTAAAAGCGCGGCATAAGTATAATATAATGACATTACAACAATGATTATAAAAAATTTTCATAGTGTTTCATTATATATATATTATATATAGTATAATACATTTTGTGTTGTGCACGCGCGATACACATTGTGTTTGTATCGCGGTGACATGACGTGTAGTTTTATGTTTTATGAATTTTATAAAATATGAAAAGAATCAGTGGCTTATGATGCAGTTGGTGATTTCGTCGTTGCGGTCGTCTCTCGTCCGTCAGACTGATTTGTGGTGGTGTTGGTGGTGGTGGTCATCGTCCGTCACGGCCTTTACAGGTAAGCCGGAGCGGCGTAGGGGTAGTAACCGTAAGGGGAGGCTGCGTATGGCGCTGCTGCGTAAGGGGCGGCGACGTAAGGGGCGGCCGCGTAAGGGGCTGCGACGTAGGGAGCCGCGGCGTACGGGGCGGCTGCCACGTACGGAGCGGCCGGCAACACCGGAGTGGCCACGCTGTGGGCCACGCTGTGTGACGTGAACGAGCTAGCGTAAGGCGCGGCGACGGCCACCGGTGCGATTGCGGCGGCGGGCACGAGTCCAGATGGTTTGGCCGAAGCGGTCATCATGGTGGACGCGAACACTGCGACGGCGGCTAATGTCTGTGCGAAACACAAAAAAAAACAAAAATCGTAAGTGTTTTGTTCGGCTTCGTTCGCGTTCTAAGACAGTGGTTTTCAACCTGGACGTCGAGACAGATAGTTTAGGGGTCCTCAAATATAGTGATCAAAATACGGTTATTCATGTCGGAATGTATTATTTAAATAAAAACCAATCTGATTATTTGTATGGTACAAATGTACGATAACTTGTCGATAGCATTTATAGCGTAATCTGACGACTGATTATTAACTATAAGCGATTGTGGTCGATCCATTTTCATTGTATTGACGAATTTTCATATCTGGTTATATTCACACTCGTACAGTGTATTATTTAAAAAAATGTCAGTATCAAATTTTTTAATCTACATTTTTTTAAATTTATTCAAGTTACGTATTAAAAAAAAAAAATGTTCATCTTCTATTATATTTTATTATTTGAAGGGGCCGCATTAAAAAAATATATACAAATTGGGGGTATCGATTAGATGAACTTTGAAAACCACAGTTTAAAAGAATGTGTAAGCAATATCAGATACTATATTATCGTCGTCCGATTCAAAGAAACTTGTTTAAGGGGTAGGGTATAGGCAATTTTCACACGAGAAAAATTTGGAAATCGTAAAACTTTTTTATTAATCAGAATTTTTCGTTGTATAAAAACACCATATTATTAGTGTGGTTGCGAATTCCTATTACGTCAGATTACGATCGAGTTGATTGTTACAATTTTATAACGAAACAGAGTCAAAAAATTAAACTCGAGTTTGTCACAAGGAGCGATGGATCGGCCACACAAATACAACACATTTTCAAACGTCAGTCAATTTGAATTTATTTTTTACTTTCTTGGTTTTCAATCTAGATAGCATGGAAGTTTGAACGAAAAAAATCTGAATTTTCAAAACTACAAGGGTTTGTGGTATGTATGGGAAAACAATATAAATTTAACTCGGTGATAGTGAGTAGGTTACCTGTTTTTAATAGTTAATTTATTATTACAGGCCTTTGAAGTTAAACATTCACACACATAAGTGTAGATAAGAGCGAAAAGCGAATATTTTTTCAAATTTTAAAAAGGCTAATAAGAGGTACTAGGTGAGTTCCATAAGAATAGTACAACCAAAGTATTAAAAAAGTAATACAATTTTAAAAACAGTCAACTAAAATTGTGTGTACTTGAAAAAAAAAATAGTACCGCCTTTAACAATAACCGTCCATTTCGGACATTGGCTAAAGTGCAATTTGGTTTATTCCTATATTCTGTAATAAATGATAAGTTAACAGTTTTCCAAAAATTAAAAATCAAGAAAGTTTACATGCTGTTCCGACTTGACAAGATTTTTTTGTTGATCAAATTACATAATTTAATACTTGTGAAATTTAAACTGTTGTTTCTACGAAGTAATCACTTAATTGTTTTAGTTCCAAACTAATGCGTATGAAAAACACATCAAATCGTAAATGCATTTTTTCCTCCGTCAACAAGAAGCGATTTGAATTCATTAAATGTGTAAAAAATGTTATAAACAATCAACGCGCTGCCTACTCGATATTTCGTATTAATTTCTTAGAAAAAAAAGCTTATTATAAGTTATTTAATCAACTTCAATTCGATTTGATATTAAATTTATGACGTCACACACATACACATAATAATATCGTCTGACAAAATGTAATCACTTCGCAAAACGAGTTTGGTCATCAAATCAGTATCGTTTTAATATTTGAACGTTAGGATTATAAGTAAATAATTGCAGCCCACTTAACGCAGGTCTTATACTCACGATTTTCATGATGGCGTTCATTTTTGATATTTGTTTGGTTCGGTTGGTTGATGATTTGAAAGAAGTCGATATTGCTTTACTGACTGTTGATGAGCGAATGATACTTGGACCGAGACGGACTTGCCCTTATATACTCGGTCCGAATGCATTTAACTCAAGTGTCCCACCTTTTGTGGGTGACCATATATCATGATATGATCAAAACGTTCATTCGTATAAATTGAATTTTGTATTGTACAATTAAATCGTTTGGCATTGACGCGCACAAGAGTTACGACAACAACGGACAAGACGACGCATAAACCTAATATTATATAATTCAGAGTACGCCACGGTATGTATGGATATTGAATATTAATCTGCAATTGGGTTACTGATAAAATATTCTAAAAACGCATTCGTCGTAAGGTCGTACGGTACGGTGGCCATATTTAGATTCTACTGGCGAAATAATAACGTTGGTCAAAATAAATTACTTCATAATTTGTACATAATATATAATCTACCGTCTGCGGTGACATTTTTTGGACCTGCGTGATAAATTGTGTCATCTCGATTCGGTCATAATTATTTTGATGTAGCGACAAAAAGTGCTGCGGGACAGGATTTCGTCCTGTAGAATAGGTTTCGAATGCAAATTATTGTTTTAAGGTACCTACATTTTACTTTGCTTTGTGATGATATTTCGTATATTTTTCACATTTATTTATGCAATTAATTTATGGATGGAATTTACATGTACCTTACCTGGATATGTCGAAGCGTCTCAGATTTCATTTTATAGATAAATTGCTTCCGGATTGAAAGGGTCAAAACCTTGTCAAATGTTATTCTACTCGCCTCCCAGTATACCCTTTTTTATAACCCTAAACCTATTTTCTTATATATTTTTTTTTTTATTGATTCTTAAGCCCGGCGGCTATGTCTACTTGCTGTTTCTAGGGTAATTGTGGTAGTGGTAGTGTTTGGTACGGTAGGTGTTTTTAACACGTGTGTGTTTGTGTTAGGCAGAACTTAGGGTACCAGTAGGTTTCTGCCGTGCCAGGTCGGGGGGCAGTGGCGGCGCGAACTTTTTTAGTCTTTGAAGCATATTATATATTTTAAAAATGTTGACCACCACCCCCTCATTGGACCGAAATAAGTATCAAGGGACTTCGGCACTTCACCCCCCACCACCAATTAAAAAATTTCTGAATATTATATAGGCCAGCGGTTCTCAACCTTTGCGTAGTGGCGACGATATTTTCCCAATTATTCATGCAACCTTTTTATAAATAATATTCAATGGGGGGACAAAAAATAATTGAACCATTTAACATTATTGGCGACCCAAAATTGGGTCGCGACCCTATGGTTAAGAACCACTGATATAGGCAACTATAAAACCTCAATAATTTCACACATTATTATAATAAAAATAATAATACATTATATATAATATATTATAATTATTATTATATTTAATAATATATTATAATTACATATTATAATATGATATAAATATACATTTTTCTTTAGTGTAGGTACATATTAATGTATAACTTAATTTTATAGAGACATGTATACATTTATAACTGCAAAAGTGGCATAATCACATTTATTTAAATATCAGCTTATCTTTTAATAAATCTGATGACATAGCATATGCGTTAATTGCTTCTTCATAATTGATACTTATATCTCTTTCACAGCTAAGAATCATTAGACTTTCCAATCGGTCTTGTCCAATGGTTGAGCGTAGTCTAGTCTTGATTAATTTAACCTGTATAATAAAATGTACATGAAAGACTATAACTTCAAAGTTCAAACTATTTTTGATAACAAATTAAATAAAATTAATAATTATGTAAGTAACATAATATTACCTTTGAAAATGCTCTCTCTGCAGATGCAGATGAGGCAGGTATTGTCAGTAAACCTTTGTAAGCCAAGTATAAATTGGGGAAAGTTTGACTCAAATTGTAGTTAGATAAAACTTTAATAATTTGTTGTGATGTAATTGATGTATTTTCTTCACCGTCACTATCGGTCGAACTTTCAGAGCATTCATTTTGTTCCTTAGAAATGTTCTTATGCAGTTGCATGGGCAGTGTTCGACAGCTATCAAGTAAACCCTTTAATGATGAGCTCAAAGTTAAATATTCATTTTTTAAATCGTTTATATTAATTCCAGGTAACCAATCTTCAATTTCATTAAATGCATCCTCTGGTAATGTCTTGCTTATACCATCACTGTACTTCAAAATTCGTTGAGGAGATAATAGACATAAATCTTTTAATATTTCTCTTGACTGGTCGAATCTTGTAGAAATGGACATTACAATAGCGTCAAGGACAATAAAGTATACTTCAGTTTTATAACGGTCATTTGGTGATAAACTTACTTCATCCACAGCTAGTTCTCCTGGCATAACTTTCCGCCGTCTTGGTCGGAGAACTTTAAACTCTGTCTCACGTACGTTATTTTTATTTACAAACAATTTAGTTTCGTCAACTAATTTCAAATATTCTTCGTCTGTTCTAAGACTTTGCAACCTTTTTCTGGAATCGTCGACTAGTGCTAATGCTTGTATAAAATCCAAGTTCTTAGACTGAAGATATTTAGACAGTGGAGAAGTAATTGAAAATATTTTTTGTATAAAAATCATTGTAATAACAAACATATAAGAGTTTATAGCTGTTTCTAAACCTGTTGCTTTTGATAAAGAGTCACGGTCAGAATCATCAGAAGTTTGCAAAAATGTTAATGTTTGTACTAATGCTTTATATTTTTCAAATATTACAGTTAATGCTCTATCATGAGAAGTCCACCTAGTTGTCGAAAAATGTTTAAGACGGCGTATAGGTTTATTTGGATAGTTCTTGTTTTGTAATTCTACAAATTTTGCCGTTCTTTTGCGAGCTTTCATGTATTAATTTAATGCCTGTACATCTCCGAAAAAGTTCCTAGTTTCTAAACATATGTCACAAGTGTCTACAATGACTAAATTAAGTACATGTGCAAAGCACCATATATAAACTGCTCGTGGGTTATGGTTTTGTATATGTGTTCTCAAACCGGAATACACTCCTTGCATTGATGCTGCACCATCATATCCTTGAGCACAAAGATGTTCTTTCCAGTTCAAATTATTATTTTCAGTTATATTACAAAAAACCTGAAACATGCCAAATCCTGATGCATCTTGGGTGGTTGTTAGAGCTAGAAGACGTTCATAGGTTTCTCCATCAAAAACATATCTGACAACTAAGCAAAATTGTTCTAATTTTGATACGTCAGTAGTGGTATCAATTATTACTGAAAATATACCAGCTTTTTTAACTTCACTCAAAATTTTTGAACGAACAATATTTGATAATATACTTAATAGTTTGTTTTGGGTATCGTGTGATAAGAATGTAAGTCGATTTCGTTTGTGCTGTTCAATTGTATTTAAATGGTGTTGTAACGTTGGATGATACTTGGCAAACATTTTAATTAATTCTAAAAAGTTTCCTTGATTGGTTGAAAATGTCGATTCATCATGACCTCGCAGTGCAATATTCTGTCGAGCCATAAATATTAAAGAATCAATAATAACCCTAAGTATTTCCCTGTTTTCAGAAACTTGTATATTAGAACCTTGGATAATTTGTGCATCAATACGATTGTGACTTTCATACAATGCTCTACTTAAAACAGATTGAATATGATCGTTGCAGCTTTCATGGTTTTCAATATTTCTTTTTATATTTCTATAATCTCCAGTCCCATCTGAGGCAATTGTAAGTTTTTGAGCTTTTGGCAAACCGAATATTTTACAGGTAGTACAAAATACTTTGTCAAGAGATGATGAGTATGATAGCCACGAACGTTTGATAATTTCACCACATGACTGTGTTTTAAAATAATATTTTTCATGAAAACAACGAACACTGCCATGAGAGTCATTTGTTTTTGGAAACTGCCAGTTACTCAACTCCATAGGGGAAGGCTGACAAACACCAAGATTTAAGAAATAACCTTTTAAACCATTGGGTATCAACTTTGGCCATTTACCAGGATCATCATCAAACATTACTGTGATTTTATCTGTAATAATATATTTTATCTATTATTCTTTAATTTTGTTAAATTACTACTAATTATTACTTATAAATTACATAAACAGTAAAAGAACTGTTAAAACTAACTAATTAAGTGTTAAATATTTAGTAAATATTTTTAAAAATTTAAGTATTTGTTTCTATTCACCTTTTAAGAGTTTAAATCGCAAAAGTTGATAAAAAACAATACATGTTTCTTTTCACCCCACTCGGCAGGTAAATAGAAACAAAGCACTTAAAAAAATATATAAAATCAAGCATTAAATATTAAATGCTATCCATGGTGCTATATTAAAGTACTCGCAAAGACCCATATTTTAAAGTATCACTCATTATTATATGTAAAATATTCAAGATGCTACAAGCTTTAGAAGTTTATAACTGTTTCTATTCAACACATTTGACGGTAGTTAAACTTTTTAATATAAACTATTTCAATTATTAAAACTACAAAAAAATCATACCACTAAACTTAATAAAAAAAAAATGGATAAAAAATACACAGCTATCTACCTAATTAAAAAATTTATAAATAATATTTATATTTAAAATTTATACCTGACGCCGATGATTCTATACTCAAGCTTGGTGATTCAGTTTCAGTACACATATTTCTCAGCATTAAATGACTTAAATCATGAGAAGATTTAGTTGGCGTTTGCATTGTTTTAACTTCTAACTCA